CTTAGAGCTATCACTGCAGTGGTCACAAGGACATGAGTGTATCTCAACACCACAGGCTGTGAAACAAGTGGTTTCGGAGGCAGGTGTAAATTCAAAGGCAATTACCCACTAGTGTCTTCAAGTGTCAAAAACTGCCATTTGAATGTGGCTTTTTAGCATTGCTACAAGGAAAATTCCCTTTTGAGGGCAAAAAGAGGTGACTCAGACTCTGGTGGTGGCAGGGGTTCTTTTATGTTTTGAGGTCTTTTTGCATTTGCCATTTTGGGACCTTGTCAACGAGAAGAAATTACAAGAAGCTCCAACATGTTCCAGGGCATTTTGGCCAGACACCTGGTTCTTCCTGCCAAGACGTTCAAGCTTGGCCAAAATAACGGAAATACCAGCATGCAAATTCCAGACCTCAATCTAATCAAATGTTTGTGATGCTCACTCAAGATGGCAGTTCACTAATGGAAATCAAAGGCTCTGAAGGACTTTTTAATTGGTTCTGTAAATTGGCCCTGGTAAAGTGTTAGTGTAGGTGTGTGTCTATGTTTATGTCTGAGTTTGGTTTGCGATGGGCTGGTGTTGCATCTAGGGTGTATGCTGCCTTGTGCCCAGTGCTTCCTGGACTAGGCTCCAGGCCACCATGATTCTGATTTTAATCAGAAACACCTTATACAATCTGTAAGTTCTCTTATTTGATGTTTATTAATCCTGTTTCATGAGTCGTATGAATATATTTGAAGAGAACCTTATGGAGTATTACAGCAGCCTTTGAGATGCATTTTTGATCCAGGGCCTAGTGTGATGAAGCCTCCCAAGGCTTCAATTCAAGCTTTAGTTCCATCAGTGTAGAGGTTCCCCACACACAAGGGTTGTTTCAATTTAGTTTACAAAATGACAGGCATGTGACCATTGAGATACAGTACATGCAGAAAATATATTTTATGGTACTGTATATTGCCTTTATTCTCAATATAATGATGACAATTCTGGAGCTACTGTAATTTGTCACATGGCCCTTAAACAGGGAGAGTTTGCATAAGCGTCCACATTTTGCCAAGTATTTGATGACCCAGTGTAGGTGGGTAAATTAACACTTGTAGGGTGCAAATAGCAGCTTTGGTTGTTAATGAAATTTGCTAAGTTTCAGTTGTTAATGAAATTTGCCAGGTTTCAGTTGAATCATCGCTGTGATTTCAAACACAGAGGCAGCTTAATTTGTTTTTTGACTGCCTGTGCTTCAAAAAAAAGTAGTTCCAAAAGTGAGAAGAGAAAAAATCCCTCTAATTGATATAGCCTTCTGTTATTTGGAACCCTAAAGAGATAGAGCAATTCTAAAGGAATGGATTGCAGACGGCAGAGGTGGTATGAGCAGGAGGGTCATGAGGAAGTCCCAGAAAAACTGTAATCCTGGAGTTTCTGAGTATCTGGTTTACCCCACAGGGAGGAGGATAAGCAGCACAGGAGGCAGGAGAGTAAAAAAGTATGGGACAACAAAGTAGGCAGCTGAAGATAAAGTGGAGAGGATGAGAGGGATATAGACAGATGAGAGTTAAGAGGTAAAAGCGATGAAAGTACTGTAGTAGTAGGACAAGGGTCTTGAAAGAGGTGTAAAAATAGGTAAGCAGTAGAGATTGTCAGGAAAAAGGGGTGCACAAAAATCTGAAGCAAGCTAAAGAAGTTTGGATGAATTAAAGAGAATAAGCAGCAGATGCAAGGAGTTTGGCAAGGACAGATCTAGTTAACAGGGACGGGTTTGGACTACAGTATGTACTGAGAGGAATAGATTGGCATAAAACCACATCATATATTTAAATGGTTGAGCTAATAGGTCAAAAATAAATGTCAAACTTATTTTGTATGATTCCAATAAATAGACACTGGATGTTCTTTCCTAAAAATCTGTTTACTTAACAATTCTCACTGAAGGAATCAGTGGCACTTCTGATCTACAGTATAGCACAGAAAAAGTACTTTACATGCAATTGAACTTCAGCTCACACAGAGGAACTGATCTGTCGTGACATGTGGGTTGTAAAATTTAATGATATCCCTGAATAACATCATTAGGAACTTCCATTTCTATTTTGGCAGCTGTTTTTCAGAAGTGATCAGACTTGTAATCCAACAATTCAGCGAGCAGTAGTTTTGAAATGATTCACCAAGTATGATGTAGCAGCTTTGCAGTTTAAACGGAAAAAAGAACCAGGTTCCATTTACAGTAGGTATCATAATCCTACAGATACAATCCTGCAAGTCTCCAAAATATTTTTGACATAAGTTTAAAACCTAGAAAACGATTGCAAGAAGTCATAACACAGCACTGTCTCAACAGCCAGAAGGAACATGTGTATCAGTGTGTGGCAGGAGAAAGAGATCATTGATCTAAAACTCAATTCAAGTTGATTAGCAGGAATACAGTCACTGTAAAACAAACCTGCCTAATCCATAAAAGCAAAAATGTAACATTTCATGACTACACAAAGTACCATATTTTGCAATTACAGTGTTAACTGCAGAATTATTTGATTTTAGTCCTTACACTTAGAGGTACCCTAGCTTGCAAAGGTACTTGTTCAAGACTAAATACAAGCCCCTGGTAGGGGAATAGAAAATTGCTCATTGGCAGATGGCCCATAAAATTATTGGTAAGAGAATAAACTCCACCACGTCCACAGAAGTTGGGTCTGCATGATCAATGCAAGAGCTTAATTTACAATATAAGGTTTTTATTAAATGCACGTTTACCTGGTGGTATTTTTTTCGGGATGGGTATATTTCTTCACTCCTGGATAAAGGCAAAATCACAAGCAAAATCGGAAAAGGCTGGGAAAGCACTGGTGAATTCACACACACATGAAGAATGGCTGAGGAATCAGAATTTTGAGCAGGACAGCTCTGGTCTGGTTTTATGAGAAAGGTAGAGACATAATGAAAACATTGGTTTCATACCGGTGCTAAGAATAGTAAGATGGCCAGACGAGCAAAGAAGAAAAACATGCTTTCTACAAACAATACCTTTTGTTTTCCCCAGTTTTTTCATCAAAGGCAAAATCAACATATCCAAAGAACCAGAGTAGCTACCTGAAGCAATTTTGAAGGCCATTAAATGGGTAGTGTTGTGCATGAATTGGAACTAAAGCCTGTCTTGCTGCAAGTACCCTTGTGTCATTAGTAAAAATGTTTCCCACTAGATATGTCAGACAGTTCTCTGGGTGTAACTGTCTTTCAAATGTTACAATTGGGGTGGGATGATGGCACAGTGGTTAGCATTGAAACCCACTTAACTGGGGCCCTGGGTTCAATTTCTGGGGTGCTAACAGCATGGAGTTTGGGAAAATTGGCCCTTGTATGAGTGTGTGTGCCCTGTGATGGACTGGCATCCTGTCCAGAATGTATCCTGCCTTGCACCATTTGCTTGCTGGGATAGGCTCCAGCTCCCCCACAACCCTGTTCTGGATAAAGTGGTTAGAAAATGGATGGAGGATCTTACGACTGAACATCCCATGTTCCTTTTAGTTCATTTCTTACTTGCTGCTTAACTTTTAATCAGCAGAAACTGTTATTGAAATACTCTTCTGTTTGTTCTAAAAATGGTCCAAAACTTAGATGCTCCCTGATCTGGATTACAATTTCTTTTTTTCCTTGAACTGACATTCACCTCCATACAAATACTTCAAGTTTTAGAATTGCTATTTATATGTCCTCCTCTAAACACACGGGTTTGGAAACATGATTATGAATGAATTATCCGAGTCACTGTTAAAATCTACACTCCAGCCAGAGCCATGTAAAGATATCAATTCTTTGACATGGTGATCCCACATGCTTTACTTGCATTGGAAAACAATGTTTGTACTCTATGCAGGCACATAGCCCTGTCTCCCGGCACCAAAAACCTTCAGAAGCTGGATCACAGAGATCACTGGTATACATTGAGTCAAGGATCCACCCCCTCAGAGAACTTTATCACCTGATCACTTATAATCCAACAGGCCTCAGTCCATTAGCCTGCAGTCTCCTGGGGCTAGTGGCAGGGTTTGCATTATAACCAGCAACATCAGGGCTACAGCCTTCACTCTGCGCTTCGAACAGAGGTTTTTACTCAAACACTCAGGATCCCTGGATTTCTGAGTCACATCTTAACAAATACTGTAAATAAAATTAATAGTAAGTGTTGCATTGCCATTTTTACCTATGTACAACATCAAAATATCGGATAAAAGGGAACAATACACGATTGTCAATGTTGTTTTTTATAAACACATTTTCAAAGACATTTTCAAATCGGTATGAATCTGCATCTTTGCTCTTATGCTCTTAAAGCTAATTTTTTTATGGCCAGACACTGTAAGCTTAGTCTGATCTCCAGTGTTATTATATACAGTAACTAACTTCTTTGAGCTATTGTAGCCCAAGGATTAATGCAGGATTATTATCCTGTAGTGTAATAATTTTCTTAATGTTGTTTTAGCTCCCTCTGATAACAATGACATCATGTGTAGTACCTTATTCTTTTCTTTTGCATATCCATACTGTATGTTGCCAAGGGCAACATTAAAGGCCTTCTTAACAACATAGTGAACAGTAGATTCCAGTGGTGGAGGGCAGACTTCAACTTTAACAACCAAGTATTTTTTAATACTATTATTCAGAAGTAAAAAGTTCTGAAAACATTGGAAATATTTTCAAATTCTCCTTCAGTATCACAGTTCAATAGAGACTTTTTAAAAATCATATGGATGTGCTATGTTCTTTAAGGTCAAGATTTGATATTTACAGTAGGTTGTTGGTTTTGGTTGACTGAGGATTTATTTATTGGGTTACAGTGAGTTATACTGCAATTTAAAAATAATTAAACTTAAATGTTTCCACACCCTGCCTCAACAGATGTCAAAATGTATGGAGATTATACTCATAGTCCTATTTTATGGCCATTTTGTAATTAAACCCTTTTCCTGCTTATTTAATAATATTGACTTTTAATTAGCATCAGGTTCTAAGAAAATGCCTTATTAAATTGTCCAGTCATATTTTAATCCATACAGCAGTATAATTTTGAACAGTGAGATTCAAAGCCATAACTGAACAGTATCTCACATTACAATATATGTAGTATTACACAAATATTAGATGCATAACACATTTAAAGAAAATAAATATCTACAGACCTTAAAATTGGAATGATCAGTTTGGTTAGTCTGGATATCATTGACTTGATCATTTGCAATTGTACAAAGATACTGTATACAGGAGCATATTATTCTCCATTATTCTCCAGCAGATTTGTAAACAATATAGATTATACATTATATCGCTGAAATACTTTGAAGCTATAGTAAAACCAGTTGGTGGCCTATGTTTAAAAGAATATCCCAATTTCAGTTGTGAGTGGGCATTAACAAACATTTTTACCTTCAAAACTCCAGTAAAAGTCAGAAGTCAGCTGAAGTCCATGGCAGCACATTTGTTCCAGCTTTGTTGATGATAGTGACCGAAATAGTGAAATTCTGTCAATTCAAAATACAGCCTTCATTTTTACATACTCTTTTGTGGAAGAGACTGATGCGCTATAGAAATTAACCCAGAAAGAACCACTGCAATTTCCATTAACATGTTTTATTTTTAAATGATTATTCTTCATCTTTCTGCTTATTATTTATTAGTTTTTAAATTCCATAATGCATTTATGATGTGTATTTTCAAAGGTGCAAAAGTTCGCAAACCAATCAAATTTTCCAGGGTTTTTCATGTGGAAAGACTCTTCTTACCTTACAGCGACAGTACTGTGGCATTAGCAGAGGGTCTCTAGCAGGGCTCATCTAGCTTGCTTCTCTCTTTCATTGATGCTGTGATACAGTAGCTTTCTGCTAATGAACTACTGAGCTTTCCTAAGGGGTTCTGGTCAATGCTCCAACATAAAGGGTGGAGAGATGGAGAGTATCTAACACTGACATGACTTTCTATTCAACAGAAAAATACATTTTCCCTCCTTATTTTCATTCCCCAGTGGAAGACATTTGAAAAGATACAGTAATACAGTATTTTAAGACAGAATATTAATATCCTTATTAAAGGTAACCAGAGATATGTTGAATCTTCAAACACTGTAATTCTAAGGTATCAGCCTAGTAGCACCCCAAGCCACAACTATGTTCTCAATGGTATTACCCACGAGCACAGAAAATGTACATTAACGGTTTTGCAGTAGGCATTTTATGGCTATCTCATTTCTTGGGCAAGAATGTTACTTCCTGAGTTTACAAAGTTCCACAAATCAACAAGACGACACACATATCCCTTTCTATTCTAGAGACAAAGGTTTCAAAATGGCTTGATCGTAATTCACCTGGCATTCCCTATGTGTATCACATTGCAGGGTTGCCAGCCTGGTAGTTTTTGCAAACATCTTCTCATGGACTTGGTTTTCCAGGATGGGGTTGTATTCTCACAACTCCTGAAATTGGTAGGGTTAGGGTTAGCTCACTTCCTGCATTTTTCAATGTTTTTCAACTGCATTTTCCCTCTGTTTTCACTTTCCTTCATGCAGTCACAACACAAAATCTGAAATGGCTTCTTAATACAAACCTGGCTATTTTCATGGAAAACGAGAGACATTTTTGTGTATGTTTAGGATCTCTGGACAATGTTAAAGGTGGCTCAGTTGATAATGGTGCTTCCCAGGGTGCAGGACAGAGCCTGGGTGGTAATATTAGCTGCATGTGTCCAGGAGAGGGCAGGATGAGCTGGCTGGGGCTCTTTCAGCTCTCAGCAATATGGTAAGCCTTCAGCCTCTTGGAAGCTTGCAGGCATTGTCTCTTGCATGGGGCTATGCAGCCTGTGAGGTGTTAAAAGATGACTGCTTGAAAGGCGGGAGAGTAGGAGGAGTCTGTCTACACTTCCTTTTTCTCCCCTGTATCGTATCTCCGGAGAAGATATGAAAAACTGGCTATTCTATAATGGGTAAGACAAAATAACTACACTAAATACCAAAATATTAAAATAATTAAACATTAGAACCCATTTTCCAGGATGTCAGTAAATGTACAGTACAGGCATTTGGCAACTCTTTCACACTTTGACATAATTAACTACTTCAGTTCCCTTTTTTCATGACACAGGACTGCATCAAGTTTGAGACAGCTAACACTGCAGAAAGTGTTGAACGACAGCTCATTGCAAGCAGGTGATATGAGCGCATCTTTGAATCCTGCATACTTCTAATGGAACTAACAAAACTGGACTGAGCTGACCCTTACTAAATTATAGAAGAGAATGACGCACACAACAAACTCAAATTGAACAGAACAATATTGTAAACAAACTGAAGTGCTCGAATGCTGCTGTTGGTGTGCAGATTTATGTCCATATTCATACGCCAATAATCCATCCAGACACAACATATCAGCTGAAATAATAACAATAAGCAAGTGAAAGTGTCACAGCATTAATAACTTAACACTTGAAACTCTATCATGGCTTCCATTAGGCAAAGCTTAAATTCTGGAACATATTTTTGAATCTTTGTTTTATTGTTAAGAAGAGATGAACTTCCTTGTTGTCACAAAGCAGACTTTTGCATAAAATGTACTGTATATTCAAGTCCTGATTTAAAATATGTTTTTCTTTTTTTCCTCTAAAACATGTCACAGGCAAGAATTCAGTTTTGTTTTCTTCTTCTTTTTTGTTGTTGTTGAACAATGTGTAAGAAAGTGGGAACGAGTTCGGAATCCTAAGCAGGAGGTGGTGCTGCCTGTCCATTCTGGTGCTCACGGAGTTTTGGGATCCTGCTATGTCGAGTCCTGGTTGACAACTTTGCCTCCGTTCATTGTGGGAGTCCCAGAACTTTTCCTCGAGCGTTGTTTCTCTTCGATTTCATGCAGTGACGGCTCTCTGTACATGCAAACTACGGCAAGAGAGGAGAGAAGAAAAGGTTAAAGCTTTCGAATGGGATATTACAGCTCAGTCTGATCAAGACATACTGAACAAAAAAGTAGGAGATAAAAAAATGTGAAGGTTGTATAGCTCATTTTTCATCCCTACATGAATATTCTCTAATTCATTACTTTTACGTGTAATAGAATATACAATCCTGTAGCATATACTGTACTACTCATTATAGGATAAACAAAAGCATAGAAGCTGAAGGAAGAAGTCATGTTCACATTATACAATGCACCTACTGTATAACCACATTTAAAATAATTCACATTATCCATTTTGGCCACAATGCTACAAAACATTATTGCTCTAGAATGTTCAAGGTTCAGTTCAAAAAAGTGTAATCCCCAGGATTATTTTAGACAGACTGAAGGACCGGAACCTTAAAAATCTTGAACATAGAAAAAGGTGAATGGACAGGAAAAGGGAAACTAAGAGAAAGTGCATTTAAAACTGAAAACAGGAGATGGCTCCTTAAAAAAAGAGGCTGTGAGACCCACAGAAACTGTCTGTATTGTTTACATAGATTCCCGCACCTGCTGCCGTCATACAAACATGCTATTTTCAGTTCATATTCCAAAAGGATGTCAATCCAAAAGGATGTCAAGTGGGGACAGACATTGTTTTAGACCACTCGAGCAATCAGCACTCCACTATACATGATGGCCAGCAAGATGCATTTGGTTTCAAATTCTGCTTTAAAAAATGTTTTCCAAATGTTTCCTAAAGTTTCTAAAAATACTTACACTTTTAAATTAAATCAAAAGGAAATTTCAGAATGCAAAAAACAGATAAAATAGTGTTTGTCACGTAACACATAGAGGAGTAAGCGTTGACAACTAATAGTACTAAATTCTTGCAGATAACATGCCAATAAGATGCAGCAATAAAGGGCAAACCATACATTAAGCTTGAAAGATACAGCTAACACTAATCCTGAGTTGGAAAAGACAAAACAAACACATGAGATATAACCAGCCCTCTAAGATGACTATCAAGACTCTTCCAGTCCATTTCACTAAAAGACATAATAAGCTGCTACAATCTTACCCATTTAACTAATATTCTACGGAAACAGTGTCTATCAGCAGCATTTAAAGTAAAATATAAATAATAATCCAGAATCAGAACACACTTTGTATTTTTAAGAAATCATAGGACGCTTTTCTCAACTTCCAACTTAACAATTTCCTAATACACAGAGAGCAGTTGGTTCAGTATGGAATGCCATGTTCTCTTTGTCACTTTAAGTTATGCTTAACAACGATACTCCTCCTCTATTACTGCAGAAATGTTCTGCTACGAGAGGCTGGTATAGGTTCCTCTGAATCACAGAGTAATTTTGGTTAAAAATAAGTGGTTTTCAGTAATGCAGGTATCCTTGTTCAGAGCAATTTTCGTTTCCATTTAGTTTGCAAGTACTTTATAGTGGACATTCTGCCTCCAACTGCTTCTAACACTCCATCTTGGGAGCAAGTGAAATAAAAAAAATACCACAATATGTTCAACTTAAAATTTCAGTTAGTGTTAAACTTCTGAAAAGTACTAATTTACCTGTGTGAGTTGTTGAGGAGGCATCATGGGGAAACAAAAAAAAATCAATTTGTGATGAAGACGTTAAGGCATTGCACAGGGCAAAAGCTGTGAGTAATAATAGCCAGTATTAGAGAGAAAGAAGGGAGAGACATTACCAATATTTTGTTTAAAAATAAAATGAGCAGAGAGCTGTTCTCGGGGATCTGCCCAAGACATTGCAAAAAAAGATTGATTATCTCGTTTATATTTATCATTTGATTAGTATTTATGTAAAGCATTAAATATTTAAATTGTGAAATAACACAAATTAGCAAGAGTTGTTAAGTCCATGGTGTGAATTTCATAGAAGCTGATAATATCTTCCATAGTGCTAGCATCATGACATTAATAAAGCCTGCACAGCAGTTTAGCAACATGTCTTAATTAAATCTTAGTTTGCTGAAGTTTTAGGATAATCAGCATTCAAATGCAAAAACATATTTTTCCTCAGTCATGCCGATGCTGTTGCAAAGCTTGACAAAGAGCTTCAGCCAAGGGGAAATACAGAAAGCTCATTGCAATTATGTGTGCAAATGAGCTCTGAAGCTCGTCTTCTGAGGGCTGGGCTGCTGGATGAAATCACTAGCCTTGAAAATAAAATGCTGCTGCATTGCTGCATCTGTTTGAGAAGCATTGCGTCTCATCTCACCTGCTTGCTGGATATTACCAGTATAATGCACATTAGACAAACAGTACTTCATGTTCAGAATTGTGGTGTAGTGATTAGCATTTCTGCCTCACAGTTCTGGAGCCCTGAGTTCAATAACTGTTCCTGGGGTTCTATCAGCCTGTGTTCATGTGGGTTTCCTCTTGTTGCTCTATTGTCCTCCAACCTCCAAAAGACATACAGGTAGGTTAATTGGCTTCTGTAAAAATAACTGGTCCTGGTGTGAGTGTGTCCATGTCTGTGTCTGTGTGTGCCCTGTGATGGATTAGCGGCCCCTACAGAGTGTGTCCTGCCATGTACCCTGTGCTGGTTTGGGATGAGCTCCAGCTCCCCCGTGACCCTGAACTGGGTGAAGCAGTTATTGAAAGTGATGTAATGTGATGATAATGTTCAGAATTTTAAAAAATAGCACCAGAACAGGCCCAAATTGAATGCTTGTATGTGCTGATTCAGTGGGTTAAACCCACAGCCTCCCCTGCATGAGAAAAAATAGGACGATTACACTGAAAGTGCACTTCATTACTCATATTCAAGGAAGAAACAGATACTGTATGTCAAAGGACCCAGTAACCCGGAGATTAGATCAAGGAAGTGCGAGCAATATTTTGCTGTTTCCCTGAATATAGCATTTGTGGATTGATCTGTACTGCATGCTGGCTTCGAAGACACATGGATCCCACGTGGTTTACCACCAGTGTGAGATTTTGGCACTTGGCAGGAAAGCCTCAAACGGAGCTCAGAAAATATCACAAGGGGTGTTTTATGGGTGGATGAGCGAGTGAGTAGGTGAATTAATCACAGTGAGAAAAGTATTTAATCAAAAATCAATAAAACAAATCAGCTAGACTAGGGTTGTACTAACTGTTCTCATATTCAACCATGGGTCAACTGGATCAAATACATTTTACCTTCAGAACAAGGAGGTCATCTGTGCTTATATGCACTGCAATGCATGTTTAAGGTTCTATACAGTATTTCCAGAATTTTTTTTATCAATACTTTACTGCTCTAGGTTTCTAATGGCAGCTGCATATATTAGCATATCTTAAAAATCTTTCATAAATACCATAGCAGGAATACTGCAGTGGCCTCCATTCATCAGATTAGACTCCAAGGCTTTTGAAAAACTGTTTCCACTAATCTCATTCTTTGCACGAGTTAGTGAATAGTGCCACCCCACTGAGAGACTTAATCTCTTTCTTCAACATTTGTCTCAATTGACCTGGTGTTTTCGTTCTAAAATTGAGGGAACTTCAAATCAATACATCGTGCTAAAATTACATAATGCGCTTGAATGCCCTCAGCTAACATATTGTAATTATAATTACATAAGAGACACTGTAAAAGCAGAGAAAGTCCAGAGAAGGACAGCCAGAAAGATAACAAGTATGAAAGGAATGTCACACATAGATACATTTAAATAAATGTTTTGTCCCTCAAAAAAGATGACTATGGGGAGATCTGAATGAGATGATAAAATATTCTACAAGGTTTTGACAAAGTCAGAACAGACCTTTATTTCAGCTTCAATGGTGAGACCAAGACCAGAAAACCAACAGAAAATAAATGTAAGCCCGAAAGAGGGGGGGGGGGGTATTTCTTTACACAGTGAGTTGCAAGTGTTTGGAACAAATAAAGTAACACTGTTCGATCACAGGTTAAACAATGTTTCATTCGACTTGCCTTTTGGGAGGTTAAATTCATAGATTCTCACAAGGCCTTACTAAATTGTTTGTTCTAAAATGCCAGTTAATTAATCTTACCTTCAATGGGTTTTGGTACAAAATGTGATGAGGGTTTCGTTTTCTTCACTCGGTTGCCTTTCATGATCTGCCCTTCCTTGTTAAGGCCGAGGAACCAGGCCCTGCCAGACTCCTGCTGTCGATACAGGGTGGAGGAGTAGATGACGTAGTAATTTTCAAACACGGATTCCTTAAATTTACACTCCGGTGTGAACATTTCCTGTTGAAGACAGAAAGGGGGAAGGTATTTATGGTGTACAATGTTTTGTTTCAGAAAATTAAATGATCCAGAAGCAAGAAGAGTGAGTACTGAGTTCAGCTCTCTAGGTTTTGAACAAGTGACTACATCGCTGCTCCTCTGCGATTCAGATGGCATTAATGGAACAAAGAAGGCACTGGAGACAGCACCAACAATCTGTTTTGAGTAATTGGTATGTTTACTGGAGAATGGATCGTGACAAATTATACTGTATGAAATAAAACTTAATGAAGATGATATAGAGTACTGACATTTAGAATTATGAATTGAAATAACACATTCAAGACAAATTAGCAAGAGTACTTAGTCTATAATGTGAATTTCCTGGACACTGATAATAATGTCCACCGTGCAAGTGCCATGACAATAATAAATCTTTGGCCAACAGGAAGAAGCAAGTCCGTTTGGGTGAAGGAACTCTCAGTTCTGATTAGCAAACAGGGATTTCAAGGAGGAGTGCCCAGGCAGCCCAGTAACACCACTTCATATCAAATGTTGAATTGAGAGATTGGGAGAGATCAAACTAGACATTTTTTTTTCTGTCTGAAGTACAATGCTTGAGGCATAACCAGACATCTGTATAGTACTGGTTTGGCCTTGATAACTATTATTTTTATAGAGCCATGGAGACAAGTGTTTTAGTATTGTATTCTGGGCATTTGTACTAGTGGGATGAGTTAACCTTATACAGCGCGTGGGTAGATAAAGTGCTCTTCACTCTTTCATGTCCAGGTCTTTGTCATGCTGAGAAAAAGAGCCCTAGCAGAAAAACACATGTTATATAAGTATTACGTAAGCTTCAGTGAGAAGTGCCGAAACCTAAATCCTGTATTTGGATTGGGAAAGCTGTGAAACCCAATTAAAATATTAACCAAGTTAACACCCTGCAGGCAAGTGAACATCAAAACAAGTTTAACAGCCTAGTCTGCATCTTTGGATTGCATTATAAATGTGCTGTGCGGTGTGGCTGTTGACACATAATGGCCACTGTGCATTAGCTGCACTTTCGGTAATGGTTGAAATGGGTCCCTCCTATATTTAAAACACTTTGGGGTCCTCTGGGATGAAAAGTGCTGGAAAACTGCAAGGAATTATTGTGATCAATCATCCTGTCAACAGGACGACCTGTATTTAATTACATTTTAAATGCATGTTAGAAAGAAACATTAAAGATTATGTTGTCTAGATAGAAGGGACACACACCAAAAAGAAAGCTGGAGTGAGCACATTGTTTATTTAGTGCGTGCATTAGCACAACGTCCATACACTGTACTGGACACTTTGTCAGGGTGTGGAAGTATAACTAATTACGTAACATACAGTATGCTCACTATTGAGGCAATATGTAAGGAATATGCCAAAGATCATCTCTGAAAGTGACAGGATGAAAGCAATTCACCAGCAGGTCACAACCAACAGCTTTAGGGAAACAACTAACAGTTTTGGAAGAAATATTTGGAAATTACACGAATGAACTGTATGTCTACCAATGGGGATGAAAATAAGGCCCTTTTAAATAAGGCCCTTTTCTACAGTCATCCATCATCCATAACCAAATCATTCAATTCAGGGTCACAGGGGAGCTGGAGTCTACCCCAGCAAGCAACAGGCACAAGGCACGATACACCTTGGATGGGGCGGCAGTCCATCACAGGGCACACAGACAAGCACACACTCACACCAGGGCCAAATGGCCAAATGTCCCAGATGCCAATGAACCTAACAGGTTGAACTGTAGAAAGGAACTGGAGCACCATAAGAAAACCCACGCAAACACGAGAGAACATACAAATTCCACACAGATAGCACCCCAGGTCCAGAATTGAACCCAGGGCCTCAGCAACGCTAACCCGTGTGGCACCGTTCTGCCCCCCCCCCCATCTATACAGCAGTGAGTAACAAAAGCAAAATGATAATTTAGTACAGATTACTTTGAAGTGGCGTGGTGCTACCCAACATAAGGAAAACCTTAAAGAACATCCAAGGTGCAGGATATTCTTCACACGTTGCACTCTGAAACAGCTGAGAACTTCTGCACCCATGGATAGAATTTGCATTTCTAAGTGATGCACGTTCTTCAGCTAAAGATAAAAATGCAGATTTTCTGGGAGCTCCAGAAGGCTAATCCTGCCCCTGCTCGTGCACGCAGAGTGAACTCCCTTTAACAAGAAATACACCATTAAGCTTCCAAGTTCCAAAAAGCTTTGCATATAATGACTGCAGAGAGGATATGACAACACCATAAATACAGTAAATACAGAAGACATAAAGAGTGCTATGCAATGACTGTCGGAGATTAAACTGGTCTTCGAGCACCTCTGGGCAATTTACTTTGCCTCATCCATTATGCTGCTGTCACCCCAAAGAAAGGATCTTGCTCGTGGATGTTGTCCTGGGCTATCTTTTCAAAACATTTCCCCACCTTTTCGTCTTTTCAGAATAAAGCCTATTTTATTGCAGAAACACACTTTATCTAATCTGCTCCTTTGTTGATCATAAGAGCAAACCTTATGGGCAATTTAGCAGTGTAGAAATAAAACACTTTTCTTCGTACATTAACAAACGCATGGTTACGGAAGAAAATTATGTAAAAATCATGTTATGTAATGCTCTTTCACTGGCATTTATGATGCCCTTCATTTCACTACTGAATAAGCAATACCATCACATCAAATGCTGTAAATGAACAGAAAGCCAAACTACTAATTAAATAAACCGTTTAACTGTTATGATCATGAAATTGTCTTGCACATTTACAACACTGTGACACACTGCCAATTTAATATGGAATATTTTCAGTAAGAAAAACTACAGTTATATAAAATAAAAAAAAACTGTCATTTTAAAAATATCTTGTAGGATGAAAAAAACTGAATATAAAGAATTTACTGTACCATTAGTAACATGTAACGCAGAATTTCTTTACTTATTCCTAGAATACACCTTGTCAAAGGCCTGACATACTGTATGACCTTACACAAATTTGCCCCGTCAGGCTACGGATTACGATTTGTGGTCCCATGTCCTTTTTAATGAGGTGAAAAGCTCTCAACCACAGCCACTTTGGTACTTGCATCGCCATAAATTTGACAGCCGAGATCATACTCCATTACTTTAGCCTAAAGCATATTTACAGGAGAAATCTTAACTCATCGAGTACAGTAGCTTTCTAATGCTGGGGCTGTCATCTTAAAGTGACGAAGATCTCATTCATGATTTAGTGCAGAGGAGTCTAGACCCAGTCCTTGGGCAGTACATTCCTACAGGTTTCACATGTCTGTTAGGCTCATTAGGTACTGATGGTTGCATTTGCCCAATAAGGAAGTAATACATTCATTAGAAAACACCCACACTACTAAATATTCATGTTCTTATCAGGATATGACATGTACAGTACAATGCCTCCCATCCAGGGTTTATCCTGCCTTGTGCCTGCTGCTTGCCAGGACAGGCTCCGGCTCCCCTCTGGCCCTGACTCGGATGACATAGTTAGAAAACTGATGGATGGAGCCTTCAGGGGAGGCCAGACAGTGTAAAACATTATCCAGGACAGGGGGGCTAACACTCCCATAATTATAAACAATGATAACATGGGATCTTCAATGACCAAGTAGTAAGGATCTCAATTTAATGTCTAATCTGAATGACATCACCACCTGTAGCGCAGTGTCCTCAGTCATCATAATGGAGCTCTGGTTTCATTTAGAAAAGAACAGGGATGTTTCACCACGATGCCGCAATATCGCCTGCTGGAGTACCAGTGATCAAAAAGACTGTAAAGCACCTACAGCAAACTCTAATCTCTTGCTGCTAGCGTGCCAGGCATCACTGTGCTGCAGAGTAAAATAACTGGCCCTCCATGAGACAGCCCAATTGGAAAGCAATGTATGTCTGGACTTCTGTTTATACAAAGGATTCCAGTCCTTAAGCGGGTGATAGTTACATGTTTTACTGGAGTTTCAGTTAGTTAACTAATTAATCCCTAAAAAATTACACAACTTCTCTTCTAAATGATTGGTTTATTCATGAAGTGAAAACCTGTAGGTTCTGTGCTTCCTGCCAGTCACTGGTTTACACAAAAATGTAAAGGGTAGGCTGCCATGACAAATAAAACAAATCAGTCTTCATATCTCCCAGGCTGCTGCTGTAGTCTTGTAGAGTTTATCTATGGGGGTCCTGGGTGGCTCTGGTGAAAGTGCTCATGTGGTGGTCTTGTGATCTGGTAGTCCAGCCCTGTTCAACCCTCTTTTATGTCGTTAATGGTTTGTGAGTGGGATTCTCCAACAGAAGGATGACCAAATGACCAAAGGACATTGTGAGATGAAACTGTTAGTGAGGTACCAAGAGGTGGCTTCAGAAGAAGGCCACCTGTTAATCAGAGAAGAGCAAGTTAAAATGAGACACACCTGGTTTAATTGAAATACTGGCACCCAGAGAGAGTTATATTCCACATGAGGGAGAGGAGCAGAGTGGATAGACTGAGAGGAAAGGCCACACCTTCTATAAATGTAGCATTATGCCTCTCAACGCACATGAACAGCAAATATGTATTTGACATTATGAAACCACCCTGAAAGGACGGATTTAAACAAATCAGCACCACTGTTCAACTGTCATGCGGTCTGATTATCAGCAGGAAGACGATGTTAATTATATCTGTTTTGGCAACACCATAATTCATTGGTCATGACAAAAAAGCTCTCTGAATTTCAGTTTGAGTGAACAACTGATCAGTTTTATAGTAGATGTTAATTAAGTCTTTAACAGGCCTTGGTGGGTATAGGGTCATGTGGTCACCTATTAGGAAGGCTTGAGTAACCAGGGTATCCTTAAATACCAGTGTTGTAAGAGACTGTGGGACTCACAATGGATATTGACTTAGACAAGTGGGAATTTCAGAAGAAAACACACACCACTGTGTCTCACAATGGCTTGTGTGGCTTGTTTGAGAGTTATATGAT